AGCTTTGGATACATATTAGAAGTTTTGTTTGTGCTATTCTCAGCATTTCAGTCTCTAAATAATAATTTTTATTCCTTTTTGATAAAATAATTTACTTTGTAAAATAGTTCATATAATTTATGCTAATATATTATAAAGTTTAGTTTTTCTGCATTTTGATATTTTTACCTATTTTCTCATGTATCTGTGATTTACTTTGTGTATTTTATATTTATTTTCCATTGCAATCAATATTTTTCTAAATGTGTTTTCTCTGGGTGATTTCATACATATAAAACTTACTCATGAGTTTATTGATGATGTATGATATATAACGTTTTCCATTTATAAAGTTTACTTCTAACCCCTCTCCTACATTCTTTCTCTAGATATTACAATGAAACTTTCCTCTATATACTATAATGAACTTTGTGTACTTTTTCTTCATAAATCAGATCTTTTTCCATAAATCAGATCTTTCAAATCTCTATTGTACTATCAGTAATCAATCATAATATCAGAAATTTTAGATCCAATTATTATTTTGCAGTATATTTTTCTTAGCATTTGAATTTTATTTTGCACATATTTATAAGTAATATTTACTCTTACATATTTGATGTGAAATTCACTGACAGTTTCTTTTGAAGATATATGCATTAATGTAAATAAGTGCAAACTTAGCTAAGTAAAGAAACCCAGCATCACAAGTTTTTCCCTCTGAGCTATGGATGTTGTTCTACTACTTCCTTATATTTAATATATTAGGTTTTTGTCAAGCTGTTTTTTTCTTTCTCCTCACCACATGCTGGAAAATTATTTCTCTGATCTTCAAATTCAAAAATTTCACCAATCTTTATCTTGATGTTAGTATCTTCTCAAGTGAAGATCTATCAATCTGTAGATTCTGATTTACCTGTGGCTCTGAGAATATTTTACTTTATTTCTTTGACTGTTTCTTTTTATCCTTTTTTGGAGGGCTCTTATCTGTATTTAAGTTCAACTGCAGTTCTTTGTTTTCTTTTATAATCCCCGATTTCCATGAAAATTTAAATTACCTTCCTTGAACTGATTTCAGACTATATTTTTAGGGATTATAATGCAGGGTTTTGTTTTTTTTTTTCCTCATTGAGTTTATTGGTACATTTCAGGTGTACAGTACAGTTACTAGAGACAGAGACCTGAGGATCAGTGGAACAGATTGGAAGACACAAAAACAACTCCAAATGTACTCAGCTACCTCATCTTTGACAAAGGAGCTGACCGACCCCACTGGAGGAAAGATAGCCTCTTTAATATATGGTGTTTGAAAAATTGGATCTCAACCTGCCAAAGATTAAAACTGGACCCTTATCTTTCACCATGTACTAAATTAAAATCCATGAGGATCAGTGGAACAGATTGGAAGACACAAAAACAACTCCAAATGTACTCAGCTACCTCATCTTTGACAAAGGAGCTGACCGACCCCACTGGAGGAAAGATAGCCTCTTTAATATATGGTGTTTGAAAAATTGGATCTCAACCTGCCAAAGATTAAAACTGGACCCTTATCTTTCACCATGTACTAAATTAAAATCCAAGTGGATTAAAGATCTAAACATTAAAACAGAAACACTAAACTTGCTGGAAGATAAATTAGGCAGAATTCTTAAAGACATGGGCATAGGAAAAGACTTTATGAACAAATCCTTAGTAGCATGGGAACTAGAAGAAAGAATCAACAAGTGGGATCTCATCTTATTAAAAAGCTTCTGCACTGCAAAAGAAACTATCAACAGAACTAAGAGACAACCTACAATGTGGGAAAATGTTTTCACCAGCTGCTTCTCAGACAAAGGACTACTATCGAGAATATATAAAGAACTCAAAACAACCAGCCCCCCGACCAAATACAAAGACTTCATTCAAATATAATGCAGGTTTTAATTACGATGTTGCATCTTTTGTTTTCTTAGTTCACACATATCTGTGTTTCTACTTATTTCCGACAGAGTCTCATGTATTCTCTGTCACCTTACATTTCTTTGATGAGGTTGGAATTGTATGTAAGCATAAAGCTTTCAGACTATATTCAAACACCACTTCCAGGAGCCCATGTGTCTTTGTTTGGAGGCTTGTCCTTTTAAATGTTTTAAATTACAGTGGGGAAAGTCAGCCTATTTGGAGGGTCCCTTTTCTCCCAATGGTGCCCTCTCCTTCTGTAGAAGTTTGCTGGAATTCTCTCTTCTAATCTTTCCCAAAAGGGGAAATTTCAATTTCAGCTCTCAAAGTAACCATCTGTCTCTCAAGTATAAATTCCCAAAATGTTATGGCAACTTCACAGCATTCTTCCAGTTGCCAGCCTTATTCTAGGTTTCAGTATTACTTTTGTCATTATAAGTAAGAAGGAGAAACTGTAACTTAGTGCTCAGGAAATCACTTTATCTGAAAGTCCATCAAACAGATTTTTCAACTATGTTTTAAAATCAAGGAAGAGTAAAGTTAACTTTTCAGAGGGATTTCAAGTCCCTGGCATTAGTCTGTTTATCCTAGTAACTCTAGCATCAAAAATACCAATATCATCCTGAAATAGTTATTTTTAGGGGTATCAGTGCTTCTCTTGCTCAAGTTCCCACTTAGAAAATTTGGGAAATGAGCCCATCTAAACAAGCTGACTCACTTGTCATGATGCTAGTAAAGAGGACTCAGGCAAATACTTAACAAACAAGTCTCTCTGATGCCTACAGAGGCATGGAAACTGAAGTACTCTTCAAGGTCAAGTATAGACCTGGGCTCTAAACTCTACATTGCAGGGCTCACTTCCTGTTACACAGTTTTCAGGAACAAGTCCTTTCTCACAGGGTTAGCTCACCACCTTGTGCTGTAGGAGGAGTGGTTGTATAAACCCTGCTTACAGTACTGTCCTTCAGGGTACTCTTGCAGCTCACAGCCATAATCCCTTCCTGCAAATCTGACATCATCTCAGCTCTTTCCTTGGTTAATTAGACATTTTTTCCTTTTATGAAATATTTTCTACACAATTTCAAGATGCTGCTTCTACCTGACAAAAGCGCCATTTTCAACAAATGCGTTGATTAACTTTAGAGCCAAAGGATACCAAAGGGCAACTGTAAATTCCTCAAAATGATGTGACTTTGTATTTGTGCATTTCCAGTATCTATTATAATATTGAACTCCTATTAAGTGCTCGATAAATATCAAAGACCCACATGAGAACAGATAATTCCTGTCATTAACTCTATTTGAGAGTTGATAACATTCTTAAAAGTTCTATGCCCTTGGTGTTCTTACTTCAGTTTAAGAGGGTAACATATCTTTCTCATACAAGGTTCAACCTTAATTCTACAAAAATAATCAAGCCTTGTTGATTTTTTTTCAGTTTATATCCATAAGAATATTTTCTTGTTATAGTGGGAAAAGGCTTTTTTTGGTTTGAATAAAAATGAATCTATCATTAAATATAAAGCAAAAGTAAAAGATTGAAATTCTTTTCCCATCCTCTGCACAATTTTTAAAAAGACTAATATTAGAATAATTTTATTGCAATGTAAACTGAAAATATCTATTCTTGTGCAAATAGACTAACCATTGAAGATTTTTTTAAAATTATAACTGAACATGACACTATCCATAATGTTTGGGTTGTAGAAAAAAATTAAAGGATGGATCATATTACTTGTACAAATATCTTTATTTTTCCATATCCTCCACAAAACTGGATCTGGAATGAGAAAAATTAGTTGTTAATAAATATGATATTCTTGTATAGGAATATATAAATAAATTTAAAGATATAAGTAGGCTCACATTAGTGCCAGTTGTTATTTTAATTTCTCAATTTAATTCTTTAGAATATAATACCAAAGTGGTTTTATGAAGTCTATTGCATTCACTTGTAATATTCTTTACCCAAAATAACGAAAGAAATATCTTTATATCAATGGCAAGTCAAAATTCTAATCTTTTAGCCTTATAAAATTTTATACACATCCAAGCATGGCACAGGCCTATAAACCCAGCACTCTGAGAGGCAAGTTCACTGCCACCCTGGATAATTTACTAATTTAGCAAGATCCTTTCTCAAAAAAGGGAGGGGGAGTTGGGCATGTAGCTCAGTGTGAGGCTCTGGATTCAATCTCTAGTACTGAAAAAAAAATTCTGAATTTTTATTTAACACTTCTATTCATGTGTTGTACCTTGTACAAAATGTACAATGCTATAGATTGGGACAGCATACCAGTGATGTGCTTATAAATGCTTTAAAATGAGCAAGGGAGTTCTGATGCCTAATGTTCAAGAATTACAATGGTATAAATATTTTCTAATATACCTTTTAGGTGGAGTTTTGGATTCAAATCCAACGGCAACAACTAAGTTGCAGTTCACAGTATTCAAAATGGGTACGGTTGGTCAGATGAAAACTTTCTCTGTTGGGAGGCAAAGTCATGGTGACATGAGTTCTGAAAATCATTCCACTGCTCTCCAACTTCTTGAGAGGTTTCTAATCCCTATATGCTAGATCCTTGGGGTTCTTAAACTTAGTGGTACTCACTGTGTCCACCATGACTTAGTGGTGCTCACTAGGATCAGAAAATTTTGTGATACCCTAGAATTTTCCTGGGGGGCCGGGTTAGGGCCCACACCTCCAGTGCTCCCATAAGCTTTGCACACCCTAGTTTCTTTTGTTAAAACATTTTGGATTAAAATCAGACACACAGCTGGTTTCATTGGCACATATTTTGGACTTGAAAAATGTTAACTGTGCTTATCGGGCTACTTACTTCCTCTCTTCGTTTCTCTAAACATCAGTAAAAATTTGTTGATGTTGTTGTTGTTTAGAAACATTCTTGGACAAAGCATTCTTTTTCTTCTCTGAAAGTCCACAACTCCATGCCTATGAACTCATACGCAACAGTAGGCTTACATGAAATATTATTTTGAAAGGGAACTCTTCATTTTCTTACTTATAAATCACAATACTGAGTGAAATTACTCATTAATTTCATTGTCATGCCCAGCAGGAGGGCCGTTGCAAGACTGCCAGCTGGAAAACCAGGAGCTACCACAAGAGGAAAAGCTGTTGCAAAGTCCTGCCCATGAGAAAAGCTGTGACAGGGTTCCAGCCCACAAAAAGGACTGCTGTGGAGTTCCTACCAGCAGGAAGGACCATTGCACAACTCCTGCCATTGTAGAGTTTTGGGAAATCTGAGAACATTTGCACCACTGCCTTGGCCATGTTATCTCTGCCCCCAGGCCCCTTAAGGTAGTGACATCTCACACCAACATCCAAGCAACTACTTTAAATGCCTGTCAACTGTTTCTCCCTTAAAAACTTTTCTGGGAGGCAAAACTTGCTTGCTGCTGGTTCTGACTCCATTTTCAGAATCAGCCGATCTGCTTATGTTGAATAAAAACTTTGTTTACTCACATAAGGCTAGCCTGGATGGATTCTCTGTCTGTAATACATCTGGACCTGAAACCCAGGATAGGTGACCCTCCCTCAAGGGCTTTGCAACACTATCCCTAGCCTTCACCTTGAAGAGATCACCTAGTGACATCTGTTCCTCAGACCGAGTATCAGACTACATTTCAGACAGTCCCTGCCAGCTGATTCAAATCAAGTAACACACCTCCTTCTATTGCAGATAGGTAAATTGGTTAGATATCTTGTAGGCAGTTAGACAGAGTCACCCTTAAGGAGCCAACACAGCAAGGAGCTGGCATGGAGGACAATAAAGACACATTCACACATTCACTAAAGGCCAGAATTGTAAAAGGAGAGAAACTGCTATACCTTTGTGCTTCTCCTGGGAATAAATAGCAGTAATTGATATTCTAAATAGGTATCACTGGGTGGGGGCCAAGGTCTTAACCCAGCCTTTCCAGGAACTATCCCTGACCCCCACCCTTACTGAAAATCCTTGTATGCTTATATGTGACTTGCTGCCCCATTAGATCCCCTCTTAATCATAACACCAGGGTGACTATATTTGTAATCCTATTGCTTAGTCATGGTTTTGCCCCACCTCATGCCCACATTTGTAGTTTTCCATTGTGTCTTATGGATTTGTCCCACTTTGTACCCACCTCACTACATGGCTTGGCTGTATAAAACATCTTTGAAAAGTAGGGTGGGTGGGCAACTCACTCTCCAGTCCCCCTTCTGTCTCTCTTAGACAGAAGCTCTTTCCTTCAATAAATTTTTCCTACTCTTGACCACTGTTGTTCCTAGAATTCAATCTTCAATTTCAGAGAACACAAATTCACATTTCAGATATCTAGAAGGTTTGGGAGTTACATCTCTTCCCCCTATATCATTTCTACACCCTCCTGACACCATCAGGACTGCCTCACAGCCCTCCTCCTCCTCCTTTCACTTCCCTTCATCCTGGGAGACGCCTCTCTCTCTTAACCCCTCACCCATCACAACTTCTCTCTTTCTAAACTCTTACTTGCTGAGACGAAAAGAGGCTCATCTATTTATTAAATATAGCACAGGTCATGGACACTCTACGGGAAGACTGTCTTCCCTAGGTGTTTTAACAACTGCAGGGACAGCTGCCTTGATCATCAACCCATGTTATGTTCCATCTCTGAGTCTCAACTTTGCTCTCTTCACTAAACCCCTCAACAAAATTACAAAAGGAGAACCACAGACCACTTAGGTCATTCATCCTTTGAATCCTTAAAAGAATCTCCCTATAGACAGCCCCTTCAGTGACCCTTCCAAACCTCACCCAATCTTTCAGCTTCTGTATAGTAGAATATGGGGGATGTACAGTAGGGGTTCTGACACAGGATTCCAGCCCATGTCCAATCACATTCTTGTCCAAACAACTTGAACCCACCATTGCTGGATGGCTGCCATGCCTGTGGGTGGCTGTTGCAGCAGCCATCCTACTCCTAGAAACACTCAAAACTCACTAGACATGCTCTACTCACCCTTCACTATTCACATAACCTTCAGGAACTCATGTCTTTGTGCCAACTCTTGTTTTCTCTTTGCCTCTCACTGTCTTCAGCTGTATGTAGTTTTCATGGAAAATTCTACATTTAGCATTCCCTTAGGCCTTGATTTCAACCCAGCTTCTTACCTGAAAAACATGCTGCTTACTTCTTCAAAGCCTGAACTACATGACTACGTGTTTCTAATACACCTAGCAACAACCACTTTTCCTCACATTTTCACCTTCCCCCTTCCCAATCCTGATCACATCTAGTTCATCAGTAGGAGCACATATAAGCCCACCTCCAACTCCCCACCAGCTCAGAGAAGGCCTGAGATCTTATTAACTCCCTTCTTGTGAAATTATCCCCCAGTTTGGCCTTCCCACATCCATTCAATCAGAGAATGGCCCAGCTTTCATTAGTCAAATTACCCAGGAGTCATCCAAGTCACTTTGTGTCCAGTAGAACCTCCACACCCGCTACTGGCCCCAATCATCTGGAAAGGTAAGAAAGGAAAAATGCCTTCCGCAAGGCCCATGTCACTAAACTTGTACTCCAGCTACATAAGGACTGGGTTTTCCCTCTCCCAGTTGCTCTCCTGCACATCTGAGACACCCAAAGGAGCACACAGGATACAACGCCTTGGAACTTTTATATGGTTGCACATTTCTGCTCAGGCGAAAACTCAGCCCAGAGGCCAGCCCCCCTGGAGACTCTCTCGGGTCTGCAACAAGACTGAAATGATATATGACATGCTACTAACTTTCTCTTGCCTTCTCCTGACATCCAGCCTTATGAAGACAGACTTTATTAGTGTGGCTAATAAATTGGTCCTACTCAAAGACTTACACTGCCATCCCTGCAGGCCAAGTGGACAGAATCCTTCCCGGTCATCTTCGTCACTCCAACAACTGTCCTATCTCAAGACCCTCCCTTAGTGGATACATCCCTGTAAAGTGAAGCTGTGTCCAGCTGATAACTTATCTGACTCCTCCTTGTGGAAACTGAAAGCAATCACCCCTACTTCTCTCAGGCTGACCTAAATTACAAAAGACACTTAAATGCCTTGCCTATCCTGCTGTTTCACCCACTTCCTTCATTTGGTGTTCCTTGATCTTTCTTGGTTTCACTCTCAAGCCCCTACCTTGAAGTCATTTCTTATGTGGATAGATCTTTTTCATGGCATCCTATGTGATTTCTCCCCAGAGGAGATCAAAGTAGTGGCATCCCCACTACTTCTCCCAGCAGTTCCTAGTTATATCTCTCAGGACCCTACAGTTAACTTATTCCTTGCTGAACCATTCCAACCCTTCATTAGCCAAAAATTGCTGGCTTTGTATCTCCATGTCTTTAACCACCAATATGCTCACTCCAGTACCTCCCTGTGTTTGGGTCCTTACTAACCTTACATATCATGCCCAATATGAAACAAAAGGCCCATTCCAATTCTTAAATAAAGGGTCCTTAGTCAATTTCCCCATTAAGGAAGTAAAAAAAAAAAACTCAGATGGGACATGCAGCATGACTTATTCAGTCTTATATCACTAACCTCTCTGTATATGAGACCTCAACAAAGCCCATAAGTAGCCCCATAAACACTGATCACTGATATTAGTCTAACCTTCCAAGCCCCCATTTACATTCAGTAGAATGTGTCCTCTGGTACACCTAGGACATCTACTCCGCCTCCAATGTAAATATATGTTACAGTCACTGGCCCCAGCTGACCATATCAATTACTAGGTTGCTCAGAATGCCCCATTCATTCAGCCTGTCTGATTCTATAGCCCTCCTAAAATGACAACCACATCGCTGTTTAACAAACAATCAGAATTTTGTAACAGCCACTTCTTCCCTTACATGACTTTACATCCATGGACCCCCTGTAACCACTCTCCCACTCACTCAATTGCCTTCTCTTGCCTACCTTTAACCACTTCTTACAATGTCTTCTAATAGATAGCAAAACACTTTTCTTCTAATGGTAGAAGAGTACAGTAAGTGCCAGTGACATCCTCTACTGGGGGTTCTTCCAGCCTCTTATGGTAGCTGTCCAACCAGTCACTCTGGGCATCTGAGAGAATGAAAACAAAAAACTCTCATTTCTTTACCATCAATACTGCTCACTTAGTCAAGGAGTTTTCTGGCTTTGTGGGACACCCACCTATCTATGCCTCCCCACAAACTGGATTGGCATCTGGACTGTAAAATACCCCAGTCCAAAGATAGATATTACTCTGGGAAATCAGAGCCTGTCCATTGCCATCAAAGTCCCAATCCAACAATGAAGAGACCTGGTAATAGTAACTCTGCTTGTTGGTCTAGGTATTTCCACTGCCTCACTGAACAGAATGGTAGGTCTAGCTAGCTTCATAAGCTATTATCATTCCCTATCCCAAGATCTCTCTGACAGTCTCAAAGAAATAGCCAATTCCATTCTTACCTTACAGAACCAGTTAGACTCCCAGGCAGTGGTGACATTTCAAAACCACAGAGGTTTGGATCTTTTAACAACTGAGAAAGGAGGCTTATGCATCTCTTTTGGAGAAAAACGTTGCTTCTATACAAAGCAGTCAGGCATAGTGTGAGATGCAGCAAAAAGACAACAGACAGAGCTGTAGAAATTAGACAACTCGTGTCAAACTCTTGAACCAGTATTTGGAGTTGGACCATATGACTCCTTCTATTAAGCGGCCCTCTCATCTGTATTCACCTCCTTCTCCTCTTTGGGCTATGCCTTCTCAAGGTTCTCTCAAGGGTTCCTCTAAAATCAAGTTAAGGCTATCACCAAGCAGTCAATGTAACAAATGCTGGCCTGGCCACCCTAAATCTTCCAGTCCTCTCTCCCAATTAAGGAGTCCACACTCTCCACATGTCGCACAAGAAGTAGTCCTGAAAAACTGTGTCCACCTCCCCCTACTCTTTTCTCTTTATATGAACAAAGAGGCAGAAACATGCCCAGCAGGAGATCCATTGTAAGCCTGTCAATGGGAAAAGCCACTACAGAGCTCTGGCCCTTAGGAAAAGCCATTGCAACGTTGCTGCCCATGGGAAAAAAACGGTTACAGGGTTCCTGCCCACAAAAAGGACCATTGTGGAGCTTCCACCATTGCAGAGTTATGGAAAATCTGAGAACATAGGACCACTGCCTATGGCCATGTTGTCTCCACCCCAGATTCCTTAAGGCAGCAACATCTCAGACCAACATCCACAATTTCATTTACTCACACTAGCTCAGGTAAATTCTCTCTGTGTCTCAAACACATTCATAATTTAAATAAAATTTTGTTATAGAACTAAATTATTTTCTCAATTTATGTGGGCATTCCACTCTTTGTATAATAGATAAAAAAACT